GATGCATTCCATTAAGGCCTGCCATCCAAACAGACCTGCTTTGTTGAGGTGTTATATCAACAGGGTGACCTCCCCTCAACACCTCCCTAGCTTCCTTGGGCCCCCCAATGGCAGGAGATTGATGTCAACAAGGAATTTTATCCCATGTTTCCTTCTACCTCCTCCAGACCCAACCTGCTCCCAAAAACACTTGCTCCAGCACAGAGGGCTTCAGTCAGGCCTTAACAGGCTGGCTAAGCTATATTACCCCATTGCCACCTACTCTCACCCCTTGCTCTTACAGTGTCAGAAACACCCTAAGTCACTGATGTGACACCATAAACAAAGAGTGCCCCAGAAAACAGCACTAACAAATGCAAGCATGTGTGTGTTAAGGAAATGATCCTTGTTCTGTCAACAGTGTGGTTGCTGTGAGAAAAAGGTCAACAAGGAGACGTAATTTGTGTATAGTGTCATCGCCAGAAAAGCTGCCAATAGAATTCAGACCGACTAAATTTGGGACTGTTTCATGGGTGGTGCTTGTCAAACATTCACAAGAAGCAAGAACCTGCAATGCAGCTGCTGTCTTTGGAGGTTTGTAGAGCTCAAATGAAAACCTGCTGGAGGAGTAAGGGGTCTGCAACAGCACATTTACAAGTTCCAGTAAAAATTTGCAGCATTACTTAATTCTATTCATCTGTGGCTATAATCTAATATTGCAATCTAGATCACAGCCCTGCAATGACAGAATCATGATACTGCTTTTTCAGCAGGCTTCCAGAAAAGCTGTAAAATTATGAAATATTCACTCAGAGGCCAATCTGATTAGATGTTAATTAAACAGGTGTACCTAACAAACACTGACATGGCAGCAGCTCAATGTCTTTAAGCAGGAAGATGACTTTCTAACATTGAACCAGGCCATCAGAATGCAGAAGAAAAGTGATATAAGTGACTTTTAATATGGTGTGGTTGTTGGTGTCAGACAGACTGGTCTGAGTATTTCAGAAACTGCTGATCTACTGGGATTTTCCCACGCAACTGCTAGCATTTACGGAGAAAAAAATAATCAGTGAGCAGAAGTTCTTTAGGAGAAAATGCCTTGCTGATGTCAGATGTCAGAAGGAAATGCTCAGATAGCTTCGAGCTGATAGGGAGAGAAGAAAAATTCCTTGTTGCAACCAAGCTATGTAGAAGAGCATCTCTGAATACACAACAGTTCAAACCTTGAAGCAGATACCTTACCATGTCCATCCCTTTATGACCACAGTCTACTCATCTTTATCACTGCTGTCTCTATATACCACGTCATAACGCTTTGATCATCTAAAACTAATGTCCTGAACATTACTTTGAATTCACTCTGTTCACATGACCTCCACAGTCACCAGTAGTGCTCCTTTTGGCTGTGGTGAAATGAAACAGGGGATCTGCATCGTGATTATGCAGCTGACAACTGTGTAAAGCCATCATCGCAATATGGATGTCTTGTCAAAAATTGGTGCCATGAAGACTTAAGGCATTTCTGAAGGCAGACAGAGGTCCAGCAAGCACTTTACTATGGTGTACTTCATAAAGTGGCTGGTGTGTGTTTTTATTAATCATCCTAAAAATACATATTAATATCTAGACACACTACCCCTTTAAACTGAATACGCGTGGCGTCATGGGCGCCAAAGGCTCACTGACTGGCACGGGGCACAACAGCTGGCCCATGTGACTTCATTGGACATAAGAGGTGAGACAGCCCAATTTTTGGAAAATCTCAGTGTTGGCTATGACAGGAAGTTGTCAGAACACACATGCATCATCTTGCTGTGTACATCTGGGCTGTCCACTGCCTGAGGCACCTGTGACAGACACATACGCATCAGAACTGGACCATGGTTCATCCTTCAGATTCAATACTTATTTTCCTCTTGCATCAAAATGCTGAATAAATAAACACACATAATTTATCTTATGTCTCCAACTAGAACCAATATCATGGGAACCTTGGCAGAAATGGAAACAAACTCCAGGAAGAGACCCCTGTGGACGCTGAACAAATGTTTAGTTAACGTATAGAGAAGTTTTCCTCTCAGCCGTTCTGTTTCCACTTTTCTTTTCCATTACAGTATCAAAGATATTTAGCTCTATATATAACACAGAGACAAAGAAACAAAGGGTTCTTTAACAGTTGGTCTAAAATTTTGTTTTGTCTTATGCAAAGATTATTTATGAGTCACTGAACATTAAGCTCCTTCAGTGACAAGGCATGAGTCAGATATGTGCACACAGGGACGGTAACACTCATAATGACCATAGAAATACAAACACACAAACAGATTACAACGAATACAAATATGGACATGAAATAGCATTTCTTTGGTATCTAAACTGGATTAACCACTGTGAAAAATTCTGTCAAAGTATATTAATAAACCATAAGAATAATTCAATTAAATAATACATGTTATCACTCACAGCAGATTCCAGTGCTTTATGTTAATCACCAATTTGTCATACGTGCTAGACACGATGTATATATACACAAGAGCATAGAAGGTAAAGTAAATAGAAATTAAAATAAAATTGCAGCTGGAGTTTCTTATGATCTGTAATCAATTCAAGTGCATGCATAACTAAGTCAGAAATACTATGACAAACACACATAGAACAGCAACATGGAAAACGTTCAAATTCCCAGTGACGTTCAGCTGATAGTAGACATAGTATCAAAACAACTGCATCAATCCTGAACAACTAGTTTTATGCAAGTCTTTCATGATGAACTAAACAGGGCCTTCCAACGGGGTGCAAAAAAGGCCTTTAGGCAACTTTTATCCAACCCCTCCATCCCCATAAGTCAGTCTCATGTGTCATCAGTGTTTGCACACAGTTCAGCCAAATCAGAAACTGATGACTGACTGATAAGGACACATCACGCCAAGACCGTTCAGAGAATATGGGCAGGCCACAGGCAGATTAATTAATCTGCTATGATTTGAGGGCCAACAAGGGGACCAGTGTTGTCGAGCTCAAAGCGAGCAGTTGCCATTTAAATGATCAATAAGATGAGTGGGTTTCCGTGACTATTGTGGCTCATGCTCAAGTGCATCCAATCCATACTAATTAGTTACATTAAGTTAAAACTGATTCTGGTGGTGTTGGGCTCCAGAGTGCAAAAAAAATAAAAAAATCTGTACAGAGTCTAAAGCTTTTCATTGGTTGCCTGACATGTAGCACGTCTGTGTGCATAGCTTTTTCTGCGTTCCATTGCAGAACACTAAATGTTTGCTCTGTGTGTTGCTGCAGCTGATTCTTTTATTCATTTCTGCTGCTCAGAGTGCGATCAACACCCGCTAGCTGATCTGTAAAATTGCACTCCTGTTTCATGCACTTTGACTCACAAGTGTGGCTAAAATTGAACCGCTGGCGTTTGGTGTTCGATTCCTGCGTCATAATATCGAGTACTGATTGTATTTGTGACGTTTGTTCATATCCCTTTTAAACATTGTACCTAATTAGAGACAGGTCATCATGTTCTAACATTGTCTATGAACAAAGTGTGATTATATTTGGAAGAGTGAAGCCAGTTGCTCCACTAAATACGAATGCAAGTAATATTTAATAAACCTAGTTAGAGGTCCTTGCAGCACAACACAAAAGTTATTATTGTGGCACCAAAGACTATGGTTTGCTTCTCAAATTAACTGCTCGCACACCTAAATGCAATATTTTTCTGAAGCCCAGCAGTAACATCTTTGCTTTAGTTACAATTACTTTATGTCACAACAGAATCAGTCTCACAGCTTATCCCTTTTTCATTTCCCACAGTGGATTTCACATCCCTGAAGTAGCAACATTGGTGGTCCAGGGTAGGAAATGCAGATGGTGCTCTCTCTAACTATTCATCTTTGTCATCATTTAGAAACATCAAATAGGACCCTAAACATGATGTATGTGTGTATATATTTCTGTGTGTGTTTGTGATTTTGAGAGCGAGTGTCCACGATTTTAAAACGTATGTAGTGAGCACTGCATAAGAAATGCTAGATATAGCATCCTACTCTAAGAGACTTCTTAGAGTCTCTTAGAACTGATTTTTTTGACCTTTTTGTCCTTTATACCCAAAACACAAGCAGTCATCAACTTTGTCCCAAGGTGAGGGTGTCACACGGGTTGTTCTGATTGATTACATTAAGATCTTTAGAATCAGAATACTTTATTGATACCTGGGGGAAATTATATAATGCTGCTAATTATGTTATGTTGTGCTAAATTTTGTTATATGAGATAGGTGACACAGAATGCCTTGCTATAGGATCATTTCACAGCAACATACTGTATATACCCAACACCTTCATGCTTGGACTTGGGCATGCTTTGAAATTAAATTAACAGATGGATATTTCTGACTGCTGAACTGAGAGTGTGATGTATATATGCATTTATAGAGATGCAAGTTTATCTTATCTCCTTAACTGCTCTCTCCCCACCCAAGTTATTCAGCAACAAAAATGTGAAAGAGACAAAAAAAAAAAAGGAAAAGACACAGGTCTGGTGGAATTTTCTACTACTAAACTAATCTAAAGAGGTCTTTAATAATCTGAGTTTATCCCTTTGCTGGGGACCAAACTGCCTTCGGAAAAAAACCCCAAAAAACCCAAAGTCCATTGACACACAAAAGCCAGAACTCCACTACTATGAAAAACACAGAAATTTCATCCTTAGGTTTCACAATTTTCAATATCTGGCAATATGTTAACATTCCAAAAGTCATTATGTTGTCCACAGTAAACTGTGTGACAGCCCTAATGGGCCTATTGTATACAACAAGTTATTTCAGTGTAAAAAGAAAAGGGTCATCCATGTGTATGTGTATATTTATATGAATGTGTGCAATGAATTCTGCAAAATGATGTCTTTACTAACCCAGACGTGTAAGGGGCAGTGTTTACATCTGCAAGACAAACTGAACTTTGAGAGAAACATCAAATGGAAACATTAGCAGCAGCACTGACAACAAACTAACTTACCTGGTTCGGCGTTCTTGCAGCAGGCTTGTCCTGATGATTTGCAAGGATGAGGAAAGGTAGTGTGCAGAGCTGTGGGTGTTGCAGAGCCGAGTGGAGCTCATTACGTGCCGCCTCCAGGTCCTCATCTGATGATGCGCTATCCAGTACGAAGACTACACCCTGTGATCCTTGGTAGTAACGACTCCAATACTTCTTGATGTTGTCAGCTCCTGTGGACGGATGTGATGCTATTAAATTTAGCCACTGTTAGAGCTCTATATTAGAAAGTATGACACTTGTAATTGTTGTGTTTGTAAATTAACTTTAATGAAAAGAAAATATACATAACACTCAAATATATAAATTATGGATTAAGGAATCTGTTTGGTGTAAAACCAAAACAACCAAAGAGATGCTGACAACACGAGTCAGACATGACCGCCACCTTCCTCTGCTTCCATTCTAATTTTCACTCACAGCAAAGGTTGCAGTTGTAAAAACAAATTTGAGAAAAGACATTAATAATTAGTTAATAACAAAATAAACACACACAAAAGCTTTTAATGTAACCTTAGTGTTTCAACCATAGTATCCTATTACAGTATCATGCTCAAATTCATTGACCTCTTTAGAATGACCCATTCCTCCACAGATGTCTCTAAAGGCCTACTGCATGGTTAGGTGCTAGATTTATTACACCTGAGGCAAAGGGATTGAAAACAGACAGAGAGGTGTGGCCCATTACGTTTGTCCATACAGTGCAGAGCATTGTACGGCCCTCGGGTCACATCCGGCTCTTTGACTGTCCCTGAGCGGCCCATGTGAGATCAATAGGAAACTAGGATGCAAACATAGATAAGTATACGTCACCCAGTTTGTCCCATTTCAGCCACCAAACACTTTGATAAAATCCTCATCAGTGAATGGCTTAATAATTTTGCTATGTTTTGGATATCACAATACAGCTTTGTTGCTTTATTTTGGAGGTCAATGCTATTTTTTTTTTTTTTAAATTTACATATATTCGTGTGCAAGTGACTGCAACTTCACTGTAAATGCATTGGACCAGATGTTTCACAGCTGCAAGTTATACTAGCTCTGAAAGACATCAGCTCACATTAAAGAAAAATTGATGAAGAACGTAGAGTTTTTCCACAAGACCTGGACTTCTAAATATTTATTTACTGAAGTCTGAGTTAAAGCTGGGTGCTTACTTGGTAGAGGGCAGATTGCTGTTATTAAATATTACAGTTTAAAATGTCATTAGGAGACTAAACACAGAAAAAAAAAAACAAAAACCAAACAAATTATTGATGCAGAAAAGGAACTGGCATCTGATCCTTTGCTAGCAAAGTTGCAAAAGCAACAAGGAAAAAGCTTGGTTCATCCCTGGATGGGGCTTGGTCCATCAAGACCAGCTTAGTGATTCGGGACAACAACAGGAAGTGATTTGTTCACCTGGATATTCTGGGGCTCAAAATGGGACAAACTGGCAGGTGTTTCAAGCAATGGCTGTCCAAATCTGACAGTGAAAAATGTTCCGACTTTTAAGATGAACCCAGAACTGAAATTCAGATTTTTGCAATGTATTACACCTCAGGAGGTGTTGTGAAAGTCAGTTCTAAAATGAATGTTGTTGATGTAGTATCAGTGCAACTTCATCAGTGCAAGACAATCACAGACAGTTTGTTCCACTTCTGGAGGATCATGAGATTGAACATAGTGACATAGACTACCACACAGCTGACAGAGGGTTCAGCCTGGGTAACTTGCTAAAAAGAAATGGGATCCGAGGACGCAATTTTGAGAGCTTTGTGAGAAGGTAGGTAAAGCTTCCAGAGCTCTCAGATGCAGAATAGAAGGCAGATCTTCAATTTACTAGACACTCAATGTGAATTCAATACACTTGTTCAAGTCCAAAACAGACTAGATTTCTATAACTGAATAAGAAAAACGATCTAAACTAAACTACAAACAAAACAGCAACAGCACTTTGCATAAAGTTAAGTCTGAAATTTAGTAGAAACTGCACATACTCATTAAACAGCGATAAAATGCTGGTACTTTTATTTTGTCTTTTTCACATTTTCATTGACTAATTCTAAAATCTACAGTGATAGTAGTTTGTAAAATTAAATCAATATTAATAAATTAACACTGAGCAGAACTGAGTTCAGCTTACTGGTGTAACCCTGCACAACAGCCCCAGTTTCCCATTGGGAAAATTAACTTCCCACTCTAGAAATAGTTTAAAGGTCATTTGTCATCTTTGCTTACTTTTAAATGAACATGTTAAATAAATGGTTAATGTCCTTAATTACAGCACCAACTGTTGGACGTCCGCTATGAAAAATAATTCCTAATCACTGCCACAAAGTATCATCATCAACATGCTTGTCAGTTAGAGAATCATCTTCAATAACAAGAAGGACAAGCGAGTCCTGCAACAGATGGCATGGCCACCACTGAGTCCTGTTCTCAACATCACTGAGTCAATCTGAGATTATAAGAAGAGAAGCAGCAATTGCGATCACCTAAATCCACCAAACAACTGTGGCAGGTTCTCCCTGATTCTTGGATCATCTTACCTACATCACTTCTTCAAGGCAAACTTGCACTTTTTCCCAATAGGAACTGGTGAATTTTAAAAACAGGGGGTAGCATACAATTTTTTTCATCTTTAACACAAACTGTATAAATGGAAAGTCTGAGTATAGGTGTTATATGATTGTATCTATGGGAGTGTCTTTTCAGACATGTAATCATTTATAATGATTTAAATATTCATTTTCAGCTAATAACTTCTGTCTGTTTATTTCCTGGGACTTTTTCTGATGGGCTACTTTAGGGAAAAAAGGTTGGTTTACAATCTTCACTGAACAAACCCCTGCCAAAAATAACCTCAAACAGCAGTGTCCACCACACAAACAAGAATCAACCTGTTATGTATTAAGAGCTGCAACACAAAGTCTGGTCAAATCTCTGAACCTCTCTTTTGCAAACCCATCTACACTACTTGAATGTACCTTTGTAATTACAGCAAGTCTAATTGGTGTTATTTATGGCAAATCTCACCATGGGTGGGACGGTGTTGCAGTAGTTACCACTATTGCCTCACAGCAAAGAAAACCCCCAAAAAACATGCATTTTAGGTTAAACTGTGATTCTAAATCGAGCATAGAGGAGAGGCAAATAATGTGCCTAAAGGTGCAGAACAAAGCATTGTATGAATGTATGGTAACATGTGGCTAGGAATCAAAAGACTAGAAAAGCACTGTATGAATGCCATTCCATGTGCATCATTTTTTACTCTGACAACACTTTTCTTAAAGTCAGTAAGGAATAACCAATAACTGTGATATCTTGGCAATATTCTTTCATTTCTTGGTCCTTCAGCATTAGGGGTCTTGTCTTATGAAATAAGAATAATTCATTTTAACTGATTGAATCCAAACTGAGAACAGCTGCTGATCCTCACGAGGAATGTATGAGGAGGAAAGTACACATTTCCAACAAAATTTTGAAACAAAAAGTTTAGTTTTACAAATTCAAAGTGCACATAAGGGTCGTTGTTTTTCCTAAACAAATCTTTTTCTTATATGAAATCTATAAAAAGCTGAAGTTCCACCAACACTTTACTGCACATCATATTATAAAAAGAATAGCTGTTGTCTGGTTTCACACTTTTAAATGTATTCACTCAAATGATTACTGCCCTTTCCACATGTTTTCTATTAACAGGTGCTAAATGTCTGTTTTACACGCTCAATAAAGTTGTTGTCTCTGTGTACACTATACACACAAGTATGTTCACTTGATTGTAGAAGATGTACTTTCTCTGGTTAAAATTATCCCTCTCCATCTGGTGAGGTTCCTTCCTTTGCAATCTTGTGAATTGTTATTTTGTTATAGTTGCTCATAGTAAGTTAATTGCCAAGAAGTGACGAACTGTGAGGCAGGCAAATGTTTAAAAATCACGAATTGCTCTCAGTGACATTTACCTCCTTTCTCTCATGCTCTCCTTCTCTTCTTTCCTTCCTTCCTCCCCCACTCTTTCTACTCACACCTCTCACTAGAGTGGAAAGCTATCAGACAAAGTGGCACTTGAGAGATTGACTAGGAAGCTTCTCTCAACTTTGCCTGGAAATGGTGGAATGTCTGTCATGTCTCGTCGGATCTTGTTGGCAGCTTCTGCCACCTATTGGTCTGTGAGCAGGATTTGCAAACATGATGTCATGATTCTTGGAGGAAGTTACTCATATGATTAATTTTATAAAAGTGCACCATCGGTGCGCCAGACCATCTCTTTGCTTGTTTTTCCTCTCTGTTTTTGACAACTTTCATGTATCGTTTTTATTTATATCCACCAAAAAGAACCTAGAATAATAATTTAAAAACACATTTTATAGTTTTAGACTGCAAGCAGACATAACAAGCTGGAAGTTGTATCACGAGAAGTTAAAAATAGCATGTCAGTAACAGTCATGGCTCCTAGTGAACTTGTCAAGTCTTGACTCATGAACTGGACTGCTTGTTGCCTCACTTATTCCATGTGTAAAACCTGACAAAAGTAACATTAAAATGCCTGCCTCCAATATGACAGATTCCCTGCCTGAACATGACAAATTACGTGGATAAACAATACATCTGAACCGAGTCCTTTTAATCAGCTAGTTGAAAGAATCTCACATAGCGCTGTCAAATCTTATGGTATGCTTTGTTGGGTGCTACAGAAGAAGAATTCACAGCTGAATACTATCACTTTTTCCTTTTTCAATTTTATTTGTGTTCCCTTGAATGCCTCCCATTTACTTCTAATTTAAGTTACAATTTGCATTTCTATGAATGTTCAACATCCTTTCTACTTGCCCTCACACTTATCTTTTGGTTCAGCTCTTATTCATTCAAATGTTCCCTTTCAGGAAGAGCTGATTGCACACTTGCTGATAGCAATAGAATTACATTTGCTAATGATCCAAGCTGTTGTGCCCAAACATCGTGTGTGACCAATGTTCATGCAAATAGATATGCAATGCACAGGGGAAAGTGTAATGTCTGCAATTTTCTGTTGTATAATTTACAAATCATAAATGCTAATCACCTGGCAGACACTCCAAGTTACCAGTGTTCCCTGAACACCTCATATGAAGCCAATTGGTTGTTATGAAAGCATAACAGACAGAAACAAGCACATAACGTTTAGGTTTTTAAAAGAGAATAGTCATAAGGA